CCATTAACAATAAAATCTTGCAATCTAAACAAATTATTGTCTCTCCACTGAACATTGTTTTAATATCTTCATCTTCATAAAATAAACATTTAATAACAAGGCAAGAAGGGAGAAATGTAGGCCTCCTTTATCCCAAACATTCAGTAGACTCTTTAATATTGCATTATCTAGGCCCCACGTTTGAAAACATTTGGGATTTCTTACAAAAGTCTGTCTAGACCAGTGTTTCTCAAACTTGGCAACTTTAAGATATGTGGTCTTCAACTCCCAGAATTCCCTAGCCAGAATTCCCTAGCTAGCCATCTCAAAGTTGCCAAGTCTAAAGTTGGTCTAGATCACCCTGAAAACCTCTGAACGCTGTGGAGAGAGGAGGAAAGGCCATTCAACAGCTGAAAATCACGGTTTTCACTTTCTTATAAACATTGCAGTTCCACAAGCTTTGCTGCTTTGATACTAAATTTTTACTATGTAGTTAGGGGAATATTAAGCTGCTTGTTTTGAATGTAGCAACAATAATGTAGCAATTCCTCTGGTAGAAAACACCCATCTCTGCTTATCTGAAGCTGGGCAGGCTTTAACAAAGAAGCTCTTGATTAAAGGCTTCAATAATATGGGGATAATTGTTGGAGAGTGAACTTTGTCTTTACAGGATGGAGCTGTTTGGACATGAACAAGTGGTGAGAGTTAGCGAAGAGTTTTCCCATGTTGTCCCTGCGTGTTTCTGGCCTGTCCTTAGACAAGTGGGGCCAAAGGCCCTTAGCCCTTGGGAAAGGGGGTCTCCCATGTCCCCTAGCAGCGCCTCACCCGCAAACAAGCTGGGTTCTCCCAGAGCCTCATTGGCAGATTTATTAAAAGGAAGATGGTGTTTAGAGATATGGGATGACAAACAGGACTGTGTTCTTTAGTGCCGTGTTTATCTGCACATTGGTTAGGGTAGGGCTGCTTTGATCCTCTTTCTCACAAGGCTTTCGGTGCTTGGGAAACAATCAGATAACATGAGCAACAAAAACCTTCTTCTGATGTTTTTCTCCTTTACTCATATCATTATATAGGAATGTAAGGCTTTTTCTAAAGTCAGAATACCTACTTAAACTCATTGTGTGGGGAGCAAATTTGAAAGCCCTCCCGTTTATTAGCGTTAAAGAAGGGTATTAACTATGCTTGGCTGGAAATGTCTCAGGCGAGCAGGATGTTGCCATCTTCAGAAAATGCCCTTAGGCCCATCTGCTGTGAATAGGTAATGTCTCTTTCCATGATCTCCTCCATCTCCCTTCTCCTAGGATCTTGGCAATCCACTCAAGTGTGTTTTCAGCACCTACAAACCACTTTGCTTCCCCAGTCATCTCCTCACTTCCCCCTTCCTGCAGGCACAAAAGCCACTTTGAAGAAGACTTTCTGTGTAAATGTAGTCCATAATCTCCTTTGCTGTGCACATCATTTGCTTGAATTGCACTTCTGCCTGAGGAGAAAAGCGGAATGGATGGACATTTGGGGGGAGGCACACAGTGGAGCTATAGGCAATCTCTCAGCCTTTTACTTGATGTTGCAGCACTGCAGTGTTTGATTCCAACATTTCTTCTAAGAAAAGTGCTTGGCCAAGAAAAACATTTTGCACTTCTGCCAGATTTCCTAATGCCTCTCTGCTAATCCTGGCTACTTCATTTCAGTTAGCCAAAAAATATGGTCCTGTCTTCAGTCTTTATCTTGGAGGAACACCTGTAGTCTTTACTCATGGATTTCCTCCAGCAAAAGAGGTCCTCGTGATAAAAGGCACAGAATTTGCTGGGAGGGCAGACTTTCCTATAATGGATGCCATCAATAAGAAAAAAGGTAACTGAATATAATTTCCAAGCCTTTTTTTTTTCTTCTCCTCATGCCTCTTTGGTCTTTGTAAGATCCCAAGTTATCCATTCTAACTACCAGTATCCCTTTTCCTCTGCATTCTGGAGTGCTGACCAACGTTTTCCAGTAAGAGAAGGAATAATCTCTTGAAATGTTAGAATTAGCTCCCTTCATCTTTTTTCTTTTTAAAATGGATGGATAATAATATAGAAGAGATTTTGGCATTCAGCTGAGAAAAGTCATACTTCTTTCTTATACCATAAAAAAAAAACTACTCAACATATTTTGCTTGGCATATTTTATTTTATTAATTGAGCATTAGCTGTATAACTTTAGTAATTCTCTGTTCATTTGAAAATCCACTTTGTTTTAAAAATCAATCAATGAATCAATTGCTACCTATAAGCAAGATACAAGTGAATGACTGCTGGATGATTTTTTTTTAGGTATACTGTCAACAAAATATGGTGAAGTCTGGAAGGAGCAAAGAAGGTTTTCACTGATGTTTCTCAGAAACTTTGGAGTGGGCAAGAAATCAATGGAAGAAAAGATCTTGGAGGAGGCAACTTATTTGATTGAGGCGTTTACTGAAAAGACAAGTACCTTCTCCGGGGACAGGATGGGATGGATGGGGAATCGTCACTTCAGTGTTCATTCTTTGTCCATGGGACACAATTCAGTTGACCTCCAAACTGACCACTGGGTGCGTGTATTGAAGGAGAGAGGGAGAAGCTCAGAATTCTGGTTGCGCAAAATTCCAAGCCCCATTGACCAAAATGAGACAGATTGTTCATTTTGTCTCTGTGCTTGTCATGTTTGTAAAGCAGGAGTCCTGTAACTTTCTTGGCTGGAAGCTTCAATTAGATTTCTGAGTATGCTTCTGGATCTCCATAGAAAATTGGGGAGGGAGGGAGGGAGGGAGGGAGGGAGGGAGG